TTCTTCTTCTTCTTCTTCTTCTTCTTCTTCTTCTTCTTCTTCTTCTTCTTCTTCTTCTTCTTCTTCTTCTTCTTCTTCTTCTTCTTCTCATCCTCATCCTCATCCTCATCTTCTTCTTGCTGGAGGGGGGGAATAAAAGACAACCTCCCTTGCAGGAGCATCTGGTCGTCCCCATTTGCACAACAATGCAAGATTGCGGGAGGGGAGGGGGGGGCTTACATTGTGTATGTCTGTGCCTGTGTGTCTGCCGCATTACCCGTACCCATACCTTCGAATTTGTGTGTGTGTGTGTGTTTGCGTATGTCAGAAGGAGCGCGCTTGTGAGTGAGTGTGTGTGCACACGGGCGCGCGCGTTGCTTCGGCTGCTGCTGCTGCTGCTGCTGCTTTCGCCTTAGCGCGGGGCGAGGGGCTGCCTGGAGGGCTGGGGTTTGCCCAGGCTGCCGGATGCACATTTCCTCTCCTTTTCTCTCTCTCTCCCTCTTTTCGTCAGCGGTTCAGCGAGGAAGGATGCCTCCGAGCCAGCCGAACCCGGGCCAGTACGCGCTGACCAACGGCGATCCGCTGAACGGCCACTGCTACCTGTCGGGCTACATCTCGCTGCTGCTGCGAGCCGAGCCTTACCCGACGTCGCGCTATGGCAGCCAGTGCATGCAGCCCAACAACATCATGGGCATCGAGAACATCTGCGAGCTGGCGGCGCGGCTGCTCTTCAGCGCCGTCGAGTGGGCCCGCAACATCCCCTTCTTCCCAGACCTGCAGATCACCGACCAGGTGGCCCTGTTGCGCCTCACCTGGAGCGAGCTCTTCGTCCTCAATGCCGCCCAGTGCTCCATGCCGCTGCACGTGGCCCCGCTCCTGGCCGCCGCCGGACTCCACGCCTCGCCCATGTCCGCCGACCGTGTGGTGGCCTTCATGGACCACATCCGCATCTTCCAGGAGCAGGTGGAGAAGCTCAAGGCCCTGCACGTCGATTCCGCCGAATACAGCTGCCTCAAAGCCATCGTCCTCTTCACCTCAGGTCAGTGGGCCGGGCCGGGCTGGGCTAGGAAGGCTGGAGGAAGGTGGGAAGGCTGGAGGAGGCGAATCAGGCCCTCAAAGGCACAGGCAGAGACAGCTCCCCGCCACCAGGCTGTGTGGGAGCCAAACCTCGCTGGGGCCTAGCAGGCCTCACGAGTTGGTGGACATGGGCTGGGGTAGCTTCCTAACTGTAGGTTCTGCAGTGAAATTGGCAACGCGAAGGCTGAAGGGCTGCTGCTGTGGCTGCCTTGGCTGGAGTTTGGCTTCCAAGCAGGGAGTAAATTAAAATGTGTGAGAAAAAGAAAGACAGAAAAGAGAGGAGGAGGTTTAAACCCCTGGCCAAGTTTTTTCACCAGAGCTTATTGAATAGGAAGGCAGACATACCAAGAAATCCTCCACATTACGGCTTTATTGCTCTGTGATTTCCCCCTCTCCCTTTACTGGAAACTGTTCATAATTCCAATTGCTGTGATCAGAGGAGCAGGTAAAAATTGACCTGAAGGCCAAAAATCCCCCCCTTCACTCCTTTGCTGCTTAAAAAGAAGTGGAGAGAGAGAGCTCACCCCAAGTTTGCAGAGATATTTTCTCGCCTTTTTCTCAAGGTTTCACTCTAGATTTTTATTCTTTCTCCCCCATCTCCAAACCCTTTTGCTTTCTCTAGTTTCTGTAGTTTCTCATCTCCAAGCTCTTTTTCCCAGAGGAAAAATACATAGAAACACACAAGGCAACTCTATACCAATACTAACAGATTAGCTGCAACACCCCCCCTCAATGAAATTAGAAACAGGGATGGATAATGTGCTGGTCCACAATTTTGTTTATGATAGATGGCTCAAATTAACTTTGCAAAAGAGGATATTAACCTCACCTTTGAAGTGCTCTGGTTGAAGTCTATAAAAATTCAGACATCTTTTTATTATTGCAAACCCGGTTGAGCCATATCTCAACAAAATCAAAGATTTATGGATAAAATATACAAGATGGCCTTTGGGTTAGGAAAGATATGGCTGCCTGTGAGTTAAATTTGCACTCTGCACAGGAAAATCGCATGCTCAAAAATAAATGCCCCTAATGCAGCAGAATTTACTCCTAAATAGGATTGTGTGAGATTGAAAGTTCATGGGAATAGTTGTGCTGTTGTTGTTTTTAAATTCTTTTGCTGTGCTTTAGTACTATTAAATTTCCCCTTAAACCTGAAGCCAAGCAATATACAAAAGATTTCATTGGCCGGACTTGCTGAAATTTCTGATTGAGAGGAAGAATCTATCAATATCTCTAGCCTCACGTGCCTGAGAAATAGTATTTACACTCTGGCCAGACAACTCTTAAATTTGTGCAAAACTGTAATGTAGCAAACATGGTATTAATATCGATTTGAACACTGGATAATTTATTTAGATGGGGACTCATTGGTATGCGCAGTGCTCAGAGAGGTGGACTGTGACTGCCCCCCCTTGTTCCTCTGGCTGCAAATGCAGGGCTGGGAGTGAGGACTCTTTTCTTTGCAAGAGGATCAAGTGCAGATCTTAAAACAAATGGGGGAGATTTATGAAGCAGCCTTAGAGGACAAGTTTGGGCCGCATTTATCTTTGGCCTGGTTTTTGTGTGTGTTTTTTTGGTAGCGGAAACATGTTTTTTCACAACTGACAAAAAGGGATCCTGCTGGCATTTTTCAGGGTGATTTTAACTGCAGCTCCCCATACTTGTTCTTAACCCATTTATTCCTTTGGAGACAGGCGAAGGACTGGACAAAGGGCAGAAATATTCAGATGAGTTTTAAAACAGCAGCTTTTTATGCCAGAAAGGTAAACAAAGCTGGCTGCTTAAAAAGGCTTCACTGAAATGGTCTCCAGATTAAAAGGCCTGATGCCCATCCCCCTCCATTTTCTCAAATCCTCAAGGCCCAGGCTTACCTGGCTGATTTAATAAAACAGATATGCTATTGCTATATTTTTCGGGGGAGTTCACCGCAATGTTAAATTGTTCATAATTATTCTATTGGTAACAATGGGTCTGCTAGAATAGCATTTTCCAGCATAACCCCTTTAATGGTCCTTTCCCATCCACCCCCACATTTCCCCACTTCCAACTGCCCTCTCCTTTCAGTTTTTATATACACTCATTTCCACTTGGGCTAATCTTGTTTTGATTGCTGGCCAGAAGGTAATTGATGGCAAATCTTTCATCAAGCCATCCAACTTTTTAAGCAAACTTTGATGGATGGAAAAAACATTTTTAGCCACCTGGTCCCAGAGGCTTAACTCAGCAATCTGATCCTAAATGTAAAATAAGTCTCGCTTCAAAATCATTGGGTTTTTCAGATGAGAGATCAGTGTTTAAGCCTGCTTGGAGATTAGTGAGTTTCTTATATATATATATATTATTTATTTGTTTGATCACAATCATTTGGACTTCAGAATATTTTTGTCCACCCCTAAGAAGTTTGGAGACTAACCTCAATCTAAACAACACCTTAAAACTAACCCCAACATGTTGGCTTTTCACACCACTATTCTAATTTCATTAGCAAATCTATTTTTAATTAACACATGGGAGGGCATATCCCTCTACAATTTGGAATTATATAGGTAATATTACCCACAGAAATATCAGAGCAGGTCAGATGTATAAATCTATTTCCTAGGCAATAACAAAATGTTTTCTCATTTTCTCATTTGCCAACAGTATTTTTTAATTTTTTTTGAACACGTAAGGCTCCTGGGTGCATTAGGTAAAATATGCTCCACCTAATAACAAAAGCTGGTTGACATCTGCTATGTAGTCATTTTTTATTTACTTATATAGTTTCTCTGCCATTGATTGGAAAGGAAAATACCAAGAAATACTGACTGCAGGGGAAATTATAAAAAAATGAAGAAACATAGTTTCTACATCCATCACCTTCTGCCTTACTACTATCCTCCTCTCCTTTCTTTTCTATCTGCAAAGTAAGCTAAAGGAGGCGAATAGGCATCACTCTCCTTCTTTGGTCTACTATTTCATCTCAACTCAATCAGCTGATCGATCAGATAGCCCAGATTGTTTAATTAATTTTCAGGTTGTCTGGTCGAAAAGCATCCCCTCGATCCAGACATGTTTGCTGGGGAGGAGAGAATTACCTTGAGTGCGAGGGGTGCCAAGTAAATTCAAAGCCCACCCCTCATGCACTAGGTAGGCGTACAGCTTGAAGAAGAAGAAGAAAGGGGGGGGGGAGAAAAATAACAGAAGAAGATATGTTTTATTAAGCATCTGTTGGATATATTAAGGAGAAGGGGAGGGGAGCTTTGTCGATGCTCTTTTCTCACAATCCCAGTGGTGGCCTCAAGCTGGAGAAAGCAGAAGCAGAAATAAATATTTCACCAATCCAGAGAATAGGGCAGGGAGCCTCCAAAGAGATGTGCTGAGGCAACTAGACCCTTTCATCCTGCCTTATTTAGAAGTTGCCTGAAACTGAAGACCCCGGTGGAAAAGGGCAACGTGGCAAAGAGGGGGAGTAGAAGCTAGAGGGTGTAAGAGGAGGAAGATCTCTTAGTCACAGCTAAAGAAGATAGTGACTCTTCACTATAATGGACCACAAATAAGGGCAGGTCTCTGTTGCATGACGTCTGTGTATTGCAATCTCCCTCCTTCCCTCCCTCCTTTCCTCTCTCTCTCTCTCTCACTCACTCACTCACATTCTCGCTCTCTTTTTTCTCCCTGCACCTCCTCCTCTGATTTTAGATGTTGCAAATGATCACTGCATTTAAGGCAAAAGCGTGGATTAGCACAACAGTCGGGCGTGCGTAATTGTACATCTAAGCGCTCCTTAGTCTGTAGCTGGGGTCAGCGAGGTCTTTTCCTCAGAAGCGTTTGAATTATGGCTTGGTTTATTTCTATTTTCGCTTGAGGCCAGGAGCGTGGGCATGAAGGTGCCTGGCAATCTTTTAAAAGGCCCGGGCCTGTCACCAAAGTCACA